ACGACACGTACTTAAACTTAAAAACTTAAAACTAAATAACTTACTCCTTCCGTGTACTTAGTTCGTTCCTTTTCTTCGTCTATATGTCCTCCTCTCTCTCTCTCTCTCTCTCTCTCTCTCTACATGCACACACTCTGCATGACTTTGCATCATGTTCTATACATCGTGCTTCTGATTGACTTTGAATCATGTTCTATACATCCTGCTTGACGATGCATGATTTTCAGATACCAACTAGCTTCCGATATCGGCGCAGTAATGAACAAGATCAACGGAGCGGGAGAGGGAGAGGGAGAGGGAGAGGGAGAGGGAGAGGGCGGGATTCAGGCTCTTCTTTGCATCATCTCTCCATGGCTATCCAAGCTAGTATCGACTCTGCTCTTACGGAGAATGCAACCCATGAGTCTTCTTCCTCAAGTGCTCAATCAGCTTCCAACAATCATGGGAATAGAGTAGAAATCAGCCCCCTTGAGTTTGAACCATTAATGCCCTCTGATCAATTGGCCAACGCAGAACAACCAGAAAATGTTCCATCAAGGTACCTTGAGGCCCTTAGCCAGACTTCAAGGAACACCCCTCTAGAACAATCTTCCTTCCCTCCACTTCCCTCTAGCAACCAGAAGGACCTAAGTGATACCAGAACTGGCTCAACAATGGCTGCGCGTCTTCGTGGTATTAATAAGGGAACAGTTAATGTGCTCCACTCTGCCAGTCAACCAGTTTCAAAAAAAAAAAAAAGTGCTCCACTCTGCTCATTTTAGTCCTGGTAGAAACAAGGTGTATATCTCAAATGCATGGAATTTGAGTAATGGTGGTATGGGGGAAGCATCACAGGGTTTGAGCCAGCAAAACAGTGGATATATGCCATCTGGTAGCTCTGCAACTCCATGGAATTTAAGCAACGGCCTTAAGGGGGAAGCATCTAGTAGTTCGAGACAGCAAAAAAACCAAGGAGGAAATATGTCATCTGGGTCTGCAACCTCATGGAATCTAAATAATGGCATTAAGGGGGAAGCTGCAGGTTCTAGTGGTGGGATACCACTGGCTTCTAATCTTACGACTGACAAGGGATATGAGGATTCCTCCATTATTAGTCTGAAGAGCTCAGCCCCTGCAAATGCAGCTGAGAATGGAAAGTTACCCATTAGCACATCTTTGGCAAAAGTGCAAGATGTCCACACTGCAAATAAGACTTTGGTGGAAAGGATGCGTGCTAGTTTAGGCCCAGATGAGAGCAAATTCACTGCTTTCAAAGACATCTCGGCTAAATATCGTCAAGGCCTCATTGATTCTCCAACCTACCTCACCCATGTTCAAAACTTTGGCCTTTCTCACCTCCTTGTTGAGCTTGCTGGGCTCTTACCTGATTCTCAAAAGCAAAGGGAGCTTCTTGAGGTTTATAGTGCCAGTCAACAATTGGCTAATGAAAACCGGGAAAGTGGGGCCTCCCAAAAACTTGGACGTGGATACTTCAAGGTGAAAGGGAAATTGGTCATTAATAATTTGGAAACGAGTAGTGCCAATGATAAATTGGCTGATAGTATAATAGACACAGTGAGGAACCTGCAGCTTAAGAACAAGGTTTGGGAGCAAGAAGAGGACGTTGAGGTCCTTTCAAAAGATGGTTATCGATCAGCTGCTAAGGGAGAAACAAAGGAAGTGGAGGCGAAGGACCGTTTGGCTGACAGGTATCGATCATCTGCGAAAGGAAAGGCACCATTGGCAGATAGTGTCGTCTCAAGCTCCAATGGTGGCTCACAGGATCCCACCAACTGGTCTTGTAGGGTTTGCACCTTGGTCAATGAGAGAGGCTCAGATGCTTGTGCAGCTTGTGGGGTACCTAACCCTAACTCCAATTCTAAACCGAACCCTAACACTACGCAGAGTGTGGGTTTAAGTGGGAATAATAGTAAACAAACGCGAAAGACTTCCAAGTTTCACAGGGTGAGGTTAGGTGATCTGTCTGTTACTGCCCTTGATCTTAGAGGAGGGTCACAATCCGAGCATGAGAATTCAGCAGAAGAATCGAGCAAGGGCCCTATAGGTGAAGAGGTGCCCCTGGTTAAAGGGGTGTGGCGAAATGGTGGTGGTCAGAAGCTCGTGGCACGTTCTCAATGGGGCTGAGATGTTTCGCCTATTTTCGCTTAGCTCAGATTGAGGTGATTGTTATGTGAAGATCTGAGGGCTTGTCCGATAAAAATGAACTGGGGACAAAGGACTTATTGGTTTGCTTTTGCAGATGGAGTGAGCAATTGGGATTTTTTTGGTTTGCGGGTTAAATTTTGGAGGAACTTTTAATGATGTTGGCTTGAGGCCAGGGTCTGGTTCTGGTTTTGTGTTTCAGTGGTCATTGTTCCATATTAAGAGTGTTTTTGTTGAAGATGTAGATATATATATTTCATGGCGTTGGCTCGTTGTGAATGAACAACGACATCGAGCCATTAATATGAATGGTGGATGTAACAAAACCCGTAAGGGCTACCAGCAAGTTTTAGGTGCCCGAATTGGTTAATGTATGGTAGCAATCGGTGTATAGGGTTCTTTTTGGGATGCATCTCTCTTTAAAGATATCAGTTGGGTCTATTTAGTGTTCTGTCTCTCCTCGATCATCATATCAGTTGGTTAGTCTATTGCTGGAGATCTTATAAGGCAACGGGCTTATAGCCAAGAGTTAAAAATCAAGCTCCAAAATATACGGCCAAAGGGAAATTTTTGGGCTGATCCTTTTGCAAACTATTTCTTATTAAAAGATGAGCAATTAAAAAAGGAAAAATTAATTTGCTTAAGGGAGTACAAATAATGAGATCATTTATTTTTGATACAAGGAAGTTATAATTACTTACAATTATCTGATGTGAAATTTGATAGATTGATGTGTCACACAGTTTGAGAAAATTTATTTTGAAGTTTGAATTTGGTCAATGGAATGAATGAAACTATCTAATTTTAAGTCAAGATTTTTGTATTAAAGATAAATGGTTTCATTGTATACTTTTATTTTATATTCATGGTCTTGGTAGATCGGAATGCTTTCATTTTATTTTAGCCAGTGAATTCAATTCTCTCAATTTTAAAACAGTGTATTCAATTCTCTCAAAATTTATTTTGTGAATATATATGGGAGGCGGTTTGTATAGAGCCTAGGCTCTAAACAATCAAATTAGATCATACCTTGAAATAGTGACGAGAAATGTGGTTTTAATACTGAAAATATTTGCGATGGCCTTAAAATATATTTTTATTTTTATTTATAAAATTTAAAGCTTAAAATATAGTATAGATCAACAGATCTATAAACTTGAAAATCTTGAAAATTGATGGTCCAAAAATGCGTTACAAAATATACTATTTTCAAAACTTGAAATCCATTTATTTTTTTCATCTTGATGCATCTTGATGTCAAGATGATCAATTTGGGGATATTTGGACATCAAAACAATCTTATCTAGTGAAATTTTGGCTCAAATTTTATTGTTTAGAGCCTCGACGCTATATAAACTTTTCTCATATATATTTGCCTTACACAGGTGATAAATTTGGTGTCCTATAGTCCCTTATTTTCTAAGAGCGCTCTAGCTATTGGTTAATAACTTCATATAATAGCTTTTGTTTTATATTTGGGTTCACTTTCTATAAAGTGACAAATTCCATATTGTCTATTTTAGTTTTAGTTGGACGTAGTAGATTTGACACATCTTTTAAGACTGTAAAAAAATGTTATATATATTTTTTTAAGATAGTATTAAATCTATACCGTTCAAATAAAATAGCTAGCATAGATTATTACAACTTCAACCAATAAGATTCCCAATTTCTCGATAGATTTGGTTGTCTTGTGAAGTGTGTTGAAATCAGAGCTCAATAGAACTTTATGCTATTTTTCAGTTTATTGAAATGCTAGAGTACAATTATCAAGTGTATTGCGATTTATTTAGAGGGAAAGCTTTCTATGTTCCCCCTACAACATAGATATTCTATCCTTCCCTTACCATCCAGCCATTCCTTCTTTATCAAGAGAGCCACTCACCGTTTGATCTTAGATCCAACGTCTCAAAGTATTTGATTTTTAATTTTTTTAATACAATTTTTATGAATATGAAATTTGGTACGTCCCATTTTCTCATTGGGGCACACCTATAAAAAATATTAACCATAATTTTTCGATAAAAAATAATGACCAAAATACCCCTTGAAACTTTCAGGGGTATTTTTATCGTTTTATTTTATTGAAATTTTTTTATATATATATTTTTCGTTAGTGCGAGTTTAATAGAGGAATGGACTTCCAAAATTTGGTGTCAAGACAGTTTATAGAAAAAAAATAAAAAATAAAACAATGTAGAGACGTGACATTCTGATTGGGACAATCTTAGCCCTCCATTCAAAATGGACGGTTGGATAAACGGGAAGATAGAACTTCTATATTGCAGGGGACCATAAAAATTTGTCCCTTATTTAGATGCCTTTTTGTTGACTTAAGCTGCAATAGAGTTACTCGAGTCACTTTCCATGGTTACGACGGATGGTAAACATTATATCATTATGTAAAATATCAGTGTTGGATGTGTTTGTGGTGTATTTTTTTTCTTAAGGTGGGGTTTGGGGAGATTGCCTAAATGCCGCTTTTTCAGCGGCTTTGTACATTTTTACGAAACTCCGCCCTTTCCGGATACAATATCACTGCAATGCTACTTGGCCTCCCTCTATGGAGGAGACGAGTTTTTTTTTAACCGAGCTAAATGTCATAGTACAACAGAATTTGTGACAACCATTGGGATGGCTGTCACTGTGTCATTGATTAGGTTAAATTTTTTTTTCTAGAATATCATGACATATCCCATACCATCCAATTTTACATCTAATAGTTAGTAGCAATTGTTACCTAAGTTAGTAGCAATTGTTACTTATTTGTGAAAACTATAAATGGTTTCATAGTGCATATAATCCCTAGACACACAAACGCATGCACATACACACCCCTTCTAATCTTGCATTTGTATAGGGTCTCGCCCAGTCTTAGGCCAAAATGTTAGATTCGGGCTAGGCCCAAGCCTTTTCAAATCTCTTTTAGGTGGGGGCTCGACTAGGGAGCCTGAAGCATTCGCAGCCCTAATGGTAAGGAATCAAAATAATTTTGGACCCATTCTGATTCATTACAAAAAAAAAAAGAAAAGAAAAAAAAGAAAAAAAAGGATCAAAATGGTCTGTAGCTATATTTCTTGGCCTGACTCCTTATAAAAAAAAGTATAGATCAAAGTAGTCCAACCAATGGTCACGAATTGGAGGTATTTTAAAAATAAACACAATAAAGATATAAGGGTGTAATTTGAGAATGATCTGGGCCTTTGGCAGTAGTATTGCCGAGTCCCATGGGGTCTTTGATTCATTCTCATCAAAGGGTAGCTGCCGCCCCATGGGATCTTTGACTCATTCTCACCAAAGGGTTGCTGCCCAAATTCCCATTGACATACCACTTTTCGAGAGTGGCATGAGACCAAAGGGTAGCTGCCCAAATCCCCATTGACATCGCTTTTCGAGAATAGCATGAGACCTTGATGGTAGTATTGCCGAACCCCATGATGAGATCTCTGACTCTATTCACATCAAAAAATAGAGCCCAAATCCCTACTGACTTACTACTTTTACTTACCAAAAAGAAAAAAACCCTAGACAATCAAAGGCGTACCTTTAAATAGTATCGAAAGATGCTTCGATACTAAATTTTATTGTAATTGCCTGAAATTTGTTTTGATATCTAATTATAAAATTTAAAGCTTCAAAAATAATATAAATCAAACACATCAATGAACACTTAAAATCTGACAATCCAGAAATTACATTACAAAATGCACTATTTTTTAAACTTGAAATCTATTTTTTCTCATGTCCATACATCTTAAGACTGAAATGATCTATTGGGATTTTTGGGCAACATTATAACTTCTAGTGAATTTTTAAGGTGCAGCTTAATTTGATTGTCTAGGGCCTCACCCTTATATAAACTTTTTCCAAGATATAAACTGTGAAATACTTTTTAAATACCATTAATACTGATTATGAGGAACATTGGTGAGGGATATTAGCGCATAGTTCAGCTATTACGTTCCTTTCCAACTAATGTATTCCCTGCCAGCTATAGAAGTTTCCCGCTACGCTCGCTTCCAGCTATCGAGTTGTCTTTTCTTTCCAAGTTCCAACCGATCTTTCTTTTACTTACAAGCCCCTAAATGCATTTCAAGCCCACTCTCTCTACACATTTAATAACTATGAAGTGCTCATTTCGAAGGAAAAGGGAAAGAACTATGACATTGAATCAATAAAATGTCACTTCTTTAGGGAAAAAAAAAACACCGAACGTGGCACGAGAATCTACATATGCATACCTTTTAGACGAATCAGAACAGCATGCCTAATTTGAAAATTCGAACTAAGGTTGTGCTAAGCAGATCCCCCATACCAGCAATAACATTATTTTTCATGCCCCTAGAAAAGCCAGCAGTTATCTTTATATTCACCAACAGCAATCTCCTTATTTACATGTGCTTCAAATCCAACGTCAACAACGAATACAACTTTACAAAATAAGAACCAAATCAGCTCTTCTTCTCTCTTTTTGTTCCAAGAGTGGAAGAAGCTTGGATTGTTCAGGAATGCTCGTATACACAGTTAATGAGGAAACCAAGCCTTATCCAAAAGTTTTCTCGCTACTGTAACACATGTATAGAAACCCATCTTCATCCTTGGATGAGCTATAAATTGAACCCGTAAGTGAGGCTGCAAAGTCGTGTTACATTAGAAGACAGGTTTAGTTCTAAGAGCAGTTAAATCTTGGAAGATGTCATGAAGCTATGAGTTCAACCGTTCAACAGTGGGTAAGAACGTACCAGTTGGAGGAAGGGTATTTTTCACAAAAACAAAGAGTGCCTTCCCAGAGGGAAGATGAAGGCGGCAGCTCAAAATGTGCATAAACTGCCCAACAGACATATCACGCGGGACCAAGTATCTAGAATTCCAAAGAACACAAGATGAGGAAAAGAAATTGTGAGTATAAAGCTTCTCCTGCATGGAAATATAGATATTTATCTCTTCCATGAGTAATAATTGGTTAACGAATAGAGGGATCCCCAAAAAGAGGCTGTAGAGTAGGAAGAAATCCCAGAAACTGAAATACCCAAGGTTGACAGGGGGCGTGTATTGATTGGTTAGGGTATGAGTTTAGATAAGGACACGGTTTCTATGCGGCCAGCCAGCACAATGTAGAAATGCTGGCTTGGCAATAAACATATATTTTAAATATAATTTGATCCTAATTTTTAGAGAATATATAATCTTTAATATGGAGATCATGGATATGGAAGAATTTTTTTTTTTGAAAACTCGAAATAATAATTACATTATGAAAACATTTGGACCATTAGTTACACTTGTTTTAGATGGACCACCTATTTGCATACATCTTTAAGACGGATGCTTTATACCTCTGGACCGCGTATTTGTAGAAATGCGGTCCAGCCCACATGAAACAATTTTCCTTTTGATAAAGAAGTAGATTTAGAATGGAAGAAGCATCTCCAATTTTCTATTTTTTTGGTAAAAGGAAAAGGATAGGTCAGCTTGGTATGTTTTCGGAGGCAAACTAGGAGTCAAATCCTTGGCCACCCACTCATACATGGGGTTTTCTACAACAAGGCCAAAGCCTAGGGAACGAGTATGAGGAGTGTTTTATCTGGGAAATGACTCTGGCGCATACCTGACAGTTGTTGTACCATAATTATTTCTAGAAAATACAGCAGAAGCTATATCAAAGATTTTGTGCATAAAAGTTAATGACCATAAAAATACTGCTTGTGGGGGGGAAGGGGGGCTTGTGGGGCGGGGGGCCATGGAAGGTTGGGGGCCGGTTGGGTCAACACTGGCATATTCATATCATAAAATGATTTGGAAAAATTACATAAAAGGAAGTTAAAAAAATCACATAAAAGGATGAAAAGTTTGCAACTCAAGAAAACAAAGATAACACTGGCATATTAATGAATCTATACCGATCGCATAGTATTTAAACCAGATTCTATCTTAAAAGTGAAAAAGATGGAACCTCTCCCACAACTAATGAGAAGACCACTAATAGTATCTTGAAAACCTGAATCAATATTCGACACTTACTTTTTCTTGTCCATCTCAGGCAGATCAGTTCCAGAAAATTTTTCAACGATCACCTGCATTAGACTGAGAGAAATTACAACATATAGACGACCATTGGCTTCCAGGTCATATTGATAAAGAGCTTCAACTTTTCTACCAAATACTAAATTAATAAATCCCAACACTCTATAAAGAAGAGAAGCAAGAACAAATTCAGAGTTTTTTTTTTTTGAGTGAAACACAGCTTACAGAGAATTCATACAGCAACTTGCTATACTTTTATTCGAATATGCTAGCAAGTTAATGCGAATATGACAATATGTGAAGCTGTAAGAAAAAAACAATCTGGCCATTTCCAAGATTCATAAAAAGATGATACAGTATAATCTAATTGAATAATTTATTTCCCTGTGCATAGCCAAGATACACCATGAATAACAATAAGAATGGAGCATACATTATCAAAGCATTATATCGTTTTATATATTGAATATCAACATCATATTAATCAAATATTGGAAATGGAAATCCAAATGAACTGCACTCATAGTTCAAAAATTCAGCTGCCCAGCCGTCTGGATGGGCTGCCAATGTGGCTGGGAGGCTTTGCCACCTCGCACTGGAGCACCCAATGCGGGGCGGTGAACCAGGGTGGATGGCTAGTCGCCTAGGGATCGTAGCACCTGGACCTTTTTGCAAGGGCGGAAATCCCACTCACCAAAAAGACAAAAAAATGTTATTTGCAATATGGAAAGAACATCATAGAGATTCAAACTTCAGCCATGAAGCAAATGGCAAGACAAATTTCAAATTCAAATATTTGCCTATTGTTCTATAAATTACGTAATCAAAATGCAAAATTCAACTTACTAAGTAGAGGGAAATCTAAAAGGAGAAAATGGAGGACTAAATTATGACATGAGAAAAATGGAATTTCATCTTTTCGTTTGAACTAGGTTGGACCAATTGTCCCAATGAATAGGTATAGTGATAGACTCATACCCCTGCTAACCAACCAAAAGAAAAATGGAAAAAGAAAAAGAAACTTCATATCATGGTTTTAAAAATCAGCCAACTCAACTCCGACTCGCCACCTTGGAGCTGAGTTTCTAGGTACAAACTCAGGTTATATAAAGAAACTCATAAAAATATTTTTTTTTGCAAAATCAATGTATAAATATATTATGTATATATTTTTACATTTTAGACGATGGTTTGTCTATTTCTCCTATCATATGCTATATTTTTCTATTTTCCCATTTTTTTCGGCTTTTCTGAATCATTTCCAGCTATGAATCAATTTGTTTTCCAAATTCTATCTTTCATATATTTTCCCCATTTTTTGGGGCTTTTAATGTCATTTATAGTTAGTTTACTTTTTACTCTTTTTTTTTTTTTTTAACAACCTGATTTTTTTGTTTTTTAGCCCTTTTCCTGGCTGGTACACTACTCTTGCCCAAGTCTTGCCCAAGTTACTCGGCTTGGACCCTGTAATTGAAGGTCCTTGATTCATATTCAAGTAGACAAAACCTTGACTCATATTGAAGTAGACACTATTCCTTGAATTTCTAAAGCAGTAATTTTTCAATAATCAACTTGTTCTACTCATGATTAAAGCTATGACAACTTATGATACCATATCAAACAAAGGATATAGTGGGATACTACAGGAAGATATAACTGGATAAAGAAAAGTTCCTTAAATTACAGAAACATTTTAGCAAAAATGAAATATTCACGCAGAAGAAACCTCAAATGTTGGACAATCATATAAAAAGTATACAGGAACTGAACTATATAAATCAAAAGAAACAAATAATTCAGGGAACTAAACAACATAAAAACCTATATCAAGTTGAATTTAAAAGGAAAATGACTAAAATTCCAGTAACAATTGCAAGAAAACCCTAAAAGGCGACAATGTATTATAAAAAAAATGAACACGCCAAAATCAGCATAAAAATGAAAATCAAATGACCAGACCAACTCGGACACCGACAAATAATAACCCACATGATCGCCAGGGACAATGAAGTCATCTACTTAAATTTAAAGGAAATTTCTTCCATTGGTGACTATGCTCAAACCCTATTCCAATGATATCAAAATTTGAGGCAGCATAAATGGAGTGTAACAGAGTACACATAGGAGTTTTTCAAGTTGCCCATGAGACCTGATTTGATGGAGACTGAGCAGCAGTTCGTGGCTTGTTATATTAATGGGTTACACATACAGAATGATTATTCAAAGGGTGTGGCGCGTGGATGAGGCCTACCGATTGGCATTAAATGTGGAAGAAAAGTTGAAGAGAGAAATACCAAGGAGAGGATTTGGAGATGGGAGTACAACTACAGGTAGTGGGAAAGGGACATGCGGTCCCCAATCAAGCACATGGTGTGAGTCAACCAAGCCCTAATCAAGGGGGTAGCAGTCACACTTGGACTAAAGAGGAATCATCTTCGTGTGGTCTTTGAGATGATAACAGTGCCCAAGTCACTCGTTTCAAGTGTGGGGAGAATGCGCATCGTTCTTTTAGCACCCAAAGAGGAAACGGGATGCCCAAGTCCATTTCATCCTGCAAGGGGATAAGAAGCATGATGTGGCAGTTGATATTGAAGGAGATCCAATACATGAAGAAGAAGAATTTCAGCAATAGCATGTCGTTCCTGATGATGCTCAATCTCTTATCATTAGGTGGGTTATGGTGACCCCCCAATGTAAGGAGAGAGGATATCTTTCACACCAAGTGTACGTCAGTGATCATAGACTTCGGCAGTTGTGAGGATATTGTTTCTAAGGAGATGGTTGACAGGTTGAGTATCAAGAGAAGCAAGCATGCTATTTAAGCAGAGACTAAAATTCCAATTGATTCTCATTGCTTACTTAACTTTTTTTTTAAACTGATTGCTTAGTTAAATTTTAAATAGGTAAAACCCGTAAGGATGCAGTGTGATGTGACATTGTCACTTGTTGCTTGGTTGCCCTCGGTTATATGACAATGATGTGATGCATACTGCTAGAAAGAATACCTAAATTTTAAACCATAATGAGGTTAAAATCACTTTGTTGCCAATGACGAAAGGACTGCAGTCTAAGAAGGGGGTTGAGAAACCATCTAACCTATTGACTACTTGTGAATGCATATAAGAGAGTCAAGAGACTGTATTCGTTTTTGCACTTGAGACTAAAGAGGTTGAAGGTCCTGAAGAATTGCCTAAGGAGATGAAATCCTTGATGAATGAGTTTAAAGATATCAAGCCAAAGAGTTGCTAGGAGGGTTTGCCACCACTATGAGACATAAGACATCCAACATTGCATCGATTTGATACCCAGTGCTAGTCTTCCAAACCAACCTGCATATCAAATAAGTCCATCCAAGCATGAAGAGCTGATAAGGCAGATCTGTGAGAGTTTGAGGCCATGTGCTGTGCCAGCTCTTCTAAGAAGGATGTCTTGTGGAGGATGTGTGGGACAGCCGCGCTCTCAATAAAATGACCGTCAAGTATAGGTTTCCTATACCTAGACTCGACGATATGTCAGATATGCTGTTTGGTTCCTGAGTCTTTTCCAAGATCGATTGCAAAGTAGATACCACCAAATCAGGATAAGGTAAGACGGAGAGTGGAAGCCTGCTTTCAAGACATGTGATGGACTTCATGAGTGGCTTGTTATGCCCTTTGGGTTATCGAATGCACCACGTACATTTATGTGGGTCATGACTCAAGTACTTCATTCTTTTATTGGCAAATTTATGGTTCTTTACTTTGCTGATATTCACATTTATAATACTAATCTAAAGGAAAATAAAGAGCATTTGTGCCAAGTCCTTGAGCTTCTTCGTGAAGAGAGTTTATATGTGAACCTAAAGAAGTGAGTTTTCCTGAAAGACAGTCTTGCTTTTGTTGGGCTTGTGGCATCCGCTGAAGGGGTCAAAGCAGCCAAGAAGAAGGTTAAGGCCCTTGTTGAGTGGCTTGCACCACAGTCGGTTGGAGAGTGCAGAGCTTCCACGGTCTTGCTATACTTTATCAATGTTTTATTCGTAATTTTAGCACCATTATTGCTCCTATAACTGATTTTATGAAACAAGGAAAGTTTGTGTGGACTAGGACTGCAAAGAAGAGTTTCAATCTAGTAAAGTAAAAGATGATTGAAGTGCCAGTGCTGTCTTTGCCTGATTTTGATAAAGTTTTCGAAGTTGAATGCAATGCTTCACATGTGGGTATAGGTGCTGTCCATAGACAGAGGGGAAGCCAATTGCATAACTTAGATGAGAAGTTGAATGAAGCCAAGAAGCGCTATTACATTTAAATTTTCAAATTCTATGCCATTGTCCAAGCTTCGTGTCATTGGCGTAATTACTTGATTCAGAAAGAATTCGTCCTTTGTTCAGACCATGAAGCCTTGAGGTACATAAGTTCTCAAAAGAAATTGAACCACATAGGTGCAAAATGGGTATCTTATCTTTAAGAAGATACTTTTGTAATCAAACACAAGTCCAGCGCTCAAAATTGTGTGGCAGATGCTCTTATCCGGACGACTGCTATTCTAAATACTGTCAGTAGGAGTTTTAGGCTTCGAGCAAGTGAGGGAGCAGTACAAGAACAATCCTTGTTTTGGGGTTATTTATGAGCAGTGCACAAAGGCAATGGGCAATCATCATGGGAGGTTTTATCACATGATGGTTAGCTCTTCTTTGGGTCGTGTTTGTGCATTCCTGAAGGCTGTTTGCATGAGAAGGTGATGCAAGATCTTCCTCTGGGAGGCCTAGGATGATACTTTGAGGAAGATAAGATGGTTGCTTTTGTACAAAACAAGTATATTTGGCCTGGACTTCACCAAGATGTTGGCTCAAAACACAGGGTTTTATACGCCATTACCTGTGCCTACAGCGTTTTGGGAACAGCTTAGCATGTACTTTGTTTTGAGGTTGCATAAGACTCAGCGAGCTAATGATTTTACCCTTGTTGTAGTTGATTGGTTTTCAAAAAGGGCTCATTTTATGCCTTGTAGAAAGACCACAGATGCCACCCATGTTGCACATTTATTTTTCAAGGAAATGGTATGTCTCCAGGAC